GGACCAGTTGCTAGAAAAGGATATCATGTTTGGTAAGGTGGGGTGTCAGAGAAGGAGAGGAAGACCACCAGTGAGATGGAGTGGAAAAGTGGCAGCATCAATGGGCTCAAGCGTGGCAACAATTGTGAGGTTGGCAATGTGAGGACATGTCCTCAACAATTGTGAGGACAGGGCAATGTTTTGTTCTGTTGTGTATACGGTCACTATGAAATGATACTGACTTGGTACCTAACAACAACAACAACTATATACATATATATATAGAGAGAGAGAGAGACAGAGACAGAGAGAGACAGAGACAGAGAGAGAATCACAGGACTGATAACCACAAGGTTGTCTGTTCAAACCTACTAGCCGCTCCTTGGAAACCCTATATAGGATAGCTATGAGTCAGAAACAACTCAACACTTAACAATAGCAATAATATTTCTGTATGTATGTGCATGTATATCCATAAATATATATGAATACTCTTTATTATAGAAATACCTTAATGTTTATTGAGCATTTATGCTGACCCAGGCACTTGTATAGAAGTGTTGCTATTGTTAGATGCCATCAAGTCGATACTGACTCATAGTAACCCTATGCAAAACAGAACAAAACACTGCCAGGTCCTGCACCAACCTCACAATCATTGTTACACTTGAGACCATTGCTGCTGCCACGCGGCCAATCCATCTCACTGGGGGGGGGTCTTCCTCTTTTTCATTGACCCTCCACTTGACCAAACACGATGTCCCCTGATAATGTCTGAAATATGAGAGATGAAATCTAACCATCCTGATTTCTAAGGAGCATTCTGGCTGTACTTCTTCCAACACAAGTTGGCTTGATCTTTGGCAGTCCATGGTACTTTTAATATTCTCCAACACCAGAGTTCAAATACATCAATTCTTCTACAGTCTTCCTTATTCACTGTCCAACTTTCACATGGATATGAGGTTTTTGAAAATACCATAGGTCAGGTGCACCTTAGTCCTCAAACTGACATCTTTGCTTTTGAACACTTTAAAGAAGTCTTGTGCAGTAGATTTGCCTAATGCAATATGTCCTTTGATTTCTTGACTGCTGCTTCCATGAGTGTTGTCTATGGACCCAAGCAAAATGAAGTCTTTGACAATGTCAATCTTTACTCAATTTATATGGATGTTGTTTATTGGTCCATTGATGAGGTTTGTTTTCTTTGCATTGAGGTGCAACACATACCGATGGCTGTGGTCATAGATTTTCATCAGTAAGTATTTTACTACCTCTTCGCTTTCAGCAACTAAGGTTGTATCATCTTCATATCACCGGTTGTTAATGTGTCTTCCTACAATCCTGATGTCATGTTCTTCCTCATATAATCCAGCTTCTCAGATAATTTGCTCAGCATACAGATTAAATAAGTATGGTGAAAGAATACAACACTGGTGCACAACTTTCCTAATTTTAAATTATTCAATGTTGCTATGTTCTATTCAAATAACTGCCTCTTGATCTATGTACAGGTTCTTTATGAGCACAATTAAGTGTTCCAGAATACTCATTCTCCACAATAGCTTGTCATTATCCACACAATAGAAAGCACAGATAAACATCTTTCTGGTATTCTCTGCTTTCAACCAAGATCCAGCTGATGTCAGTAGTGATATACCTCATCCCACATCCTCTTCTGAGTCTGGCTTGAACTTCTGACAGTTCTCTGCCAATGTACTGTTGCAGCAGTTTTTGAATTATCTTTAGCAAAATATTACTTGCATGTGATAGTAGTGATATTGTCTGATGATTTCCACATTCTGTTGAGTCACCTCTCTTTGGAATGGGCACAAATATGGTTCTCTTTCAATCAGTTGTCCAGGTAGCTGTCTTCAAAATTTCTTGGTATAGTTGAGTGAGTGCCTCCAATGCTGCATCAGTTTGTTGAAAGGTTTTCATTTTATTCCATCAATTTCCAGAGCCTTGTTCTTTGTCAATGCCTTCACTGTACATTGGACTTCTTCCTTCAGAATCATTGGCTCTTGATCATATGCTACTTCTTGAAATGGTTGAACATCAACTATTTCCTTTTGATTCAGTGGCTCTGTGTATTCCTTCCATCTTCATTTAAAGCTTGCTGTGTTATTCAATATTTTTCCTATTATTGTTGTTGTTGTTGTTGCTGTTGTTGTTAAGTGCCATTGAGTCAGTTATGACTCATATTGATCCGGTATAGGGTTTCCAAGGAGTAGTTGGTGAATTTGAACTGCCAGCCTTGCAGTTCAAACCAACCGTGTAGTCCAGTGCTATCTCAAAACACCACATCAGGGTTTTTTTTATTTTTTGCCTATAGAATCCTTCAATATTTCAAGTCAAGGCCTGAATTTTTTCTTCAATTCCCTCAATTTGAGAACTGCTGAGCATGTTCTTCCCTTTTGGTTTTCTAACTCCAGGTCTCTGCGTATTTAGTTGTAATATTTTACTTTGTCTTCAAAAGCTGCTCTTTGAAAATTTCTCTTCGGCTCTTTTACCTCCTAATTTCTTCCATGTGCTTTAGCTCTCTAAGCTGGAGAGCAAGTTTCAGAGTCTCTTCTAACATCCATTTAGTTATTTTCCTTCTTTCCTGTCTTCTTACTTACCTTTTGTTTTTTCGTATATGATGTTATTAATGTCATCCTAAAACTTTTCTGGTCTTTGGTCTTTAGTTGAACGAATCAAATCTGTTCTTCAAATAAACTCTAAATTCAGGGGGTACATATTCAAGGTCATATTTTGGCTCTTGTGGACTTGTTTTAATTTTCTTCAGCTTCAGCCTGAATTTGCATATGAGCAACTGATGGTCTGTTCCACAGTCTGCCCCTGAACTTGTTCTGGTTGATAATATGTAGTTTTTCCACCATCTCTTTCCATAGACGTGGTCTATTTGATTTCTGTGTATTCCATCTGGTGAAATCCATATGTATAGCCATCTTTTATGTTGTTTTAAAAAGGTATTTGCGATAAAGAAGTCATTGGTCTTGCAAAATTCTATCATGTGATCTCTAGCATGGTTTCTATAACCAAGGTCATATATTCCAACTACTGTTTCCAATGTTTGTATTCTAATCACTAGTTATTATCAGTACATCTTGATTACATGTTTGAACAATTTCAGACTGAAAACGTTGGTAGAATTCTTCAGTTTCATCATTATTGGCTTTAGTTGTTGATGTGTAAATTTGAATAATAGTGGTATTAACTGGTTTCCTTGTAAGTGTATGGACATTCTCTGTCCTATCACAGGAAGCATATACTTCAAGACAAATCTTGAAATGTTCTTTTTGATTATGAATGTAATGCCATTCCTCTTCAATTTGTCATTCCCATCATAGTAAATCACGTGACTGTCAAATTCAAAATGGCAAATACCAGTCCATTTCATTAATGTCTAGGATATCAATGTTTATGCATTCCATTTAGTGTTTGACAGTTTCAATTTTTTCTAGAGTCATACTTTGCATGTTCCATGTTTCGATTACTAATGGGTATTTACAGTTGTTTCTCTTCATTTTGAGTCATGTCCCAGCAGCAAATGATGGTACCGTCATCTTGGTCAGCTCTACTTTGAGGAGGTAGCTCTTTCCCGTTAGTATTATGAGTGCCTTTCAATCTGAGGAGCTCTTCTTCCAGCACTGTATCTGACAATATCCTGGTGGTCTTCATCATGCTTTAATATTCAATATTTTAGTGTTATCTACAGAGTTCCACTGCTATTCATAAAATTTTCAGTGACTAAATATTCACAAGTAGTCTGTCTCTCTTCCTAGTCTGTCTTAGTCTGGTAGCTCAGCTGAAACCTGTCCACCATGGGTTACCCTGCTGGTATTTAAAATACCAATGGCATAGTTCCCAGAACCACAACAACACGCAAGCAAGCACAATACAACAAACTAATCCAGTGGTGTACAGAAGTAGATCATTTAATTCTCACAGTAATTCTTGGGGTGGTACAATTGTTGTTAAGTGCTTTGGCGTCAGATCCCACTCATTTCGACACTCTATAGAGTTTCCAAAGTTGTAAATTGTTTCCTAAGCAGAAAATCTCATCTTTGTCCCTCAGAGTAGCTGTTGAGTTTGAACAACCGACCTTTGGTTGGCAAGCCAGTGCTTATCCTACAGTGCCACCAGCTCTCCCATGCTGATAAAATGATCACTCCTTTCTTATAGATGAGGAAACAGACTACAAGACTGATAAGTTAATATTGTTGTTATTGTTTAGTGCAGTTGAGTGGTTCCTATTCAAAGCCACCCTGTATAATGTTCTCAAGAAGTGGCTAGTTGTTTTGAACTGCCAGCCTTGGAGTTAGCAGTCACATGCTTATCCTACAGTATCACACTGGTAGACATTAGTAAACTTAAACATGGAGGGTCAGTGAAAAAGAGCAAGATCCCAAGGAGATGGTTTTATACAGTGGCAGCAGCAATGGGCTCAAGCATGGCAACAATTGTGGAGATATCACAAGATCTGACAGCGTTTTGTTGTGTCATGCATAAGCTGGATATTAATTGGAACTGACTTGAGGACATCTAACAACAACAACAAAACTGCTCTCATTTTATTGATGATTTCATTTTCATGGCAAGCCTAGAACCTGTGGTTTAACTGCCCTTTGCATCACGTGCACCACCGCTGAGTTTCAAGTAGAAGATAAAGAAGAGGACAGGTGTTACTTTAAGAAAGTGGTGGAAGCTGTAACCCGAAGCCTCCTCCAGCGAAGGCCGGACAGGCCTGGGACAGTCAGCAAGCCGGCAGTGAACTCACGAGGGTCTGGCCAGGCTCTTACTTCCAAAGTTGGAGCTCTCCTTGGTGGGAGGGGGTGGGGAAAAGGGTAGATCAGTGACGTCACTCTGCTGCAGGGATAAAGCATTCGGTCCACAGTCGGGGCGAGGACATTGTCCGGGGAGCAAAGCAGGCTGTCCACTGGGGGACACTCATCGTTCACAGACCGCCGCTCTCTGCGCCCTACTCCCAGGGAGCCGAAGCGCCCCTGCTTAAGTACCATGCCCCAGAACGTGATCCTGCCGGGTCCAGCGCCCTGGGGATTTAGACTCTCAGGAGGTATAGACTTCAACCAGCCGTTGATCATCACCAGGGTAGGTATTCTCTTGCTTTTACTGACAGTTGGGGATGCTGGCATCCCGAGAGGCGCAGTGGGTCCCCCTGGAACGGAGGGTGACAGGTGAGTCCCACGGACTCACGGGGTGCTGCGCACAGTGAGTCCAGGGCTGTAGGCTCACAACTTTGAGGGGCGGCAGCACCTTGGTGGACCGAACTTGGGAGGATGCAGAGCATCTGAGAGAGTTAACAATGTTAGCTCAAAGGGTCTCTGCATCCTCTCGGTCCACAGTAACTTTCAGAGGAGAGGTAAACTGAGCACGGGATTTCGCTGGGCTCTCAGAAGGCTAAGCTGCGAGGACTGCGGTGCCTTCCCTCCCTCTACACAGCGTCTCCTTTCAGTAACAAACCAGACGGGATCCCTGAAAGGAGAGACAGAAAGACCTACACAATGGTTATTAGAGTGGGGCACGCCTCTAAGAGCTTTCCTTGTAAACTTCAGCGCGAAGCTGTTCACAGGGCACAATCTGGGTTGGCCAAATTGGAGCCGGTCGTATCAGCCTGCAGGGAAAATATTACTAATGTGTATTCCTGGGTTTCCAGGCATTTTGAATAAATATTTTCCTAAACTTGGAACTTGCCTCCGGAATCATCACCTATAACTCAAACTACAAAGAAAACTTGTCAGTTTAGTTTACCTGATGGAAAGTAACCAATCAGCCTAATAACTCTAAAGAAATAATTGAATATCATAGCCAAGCTTTTCCTTATTTAGTGCTCTCTAGAGTACTGTTTTACAAGAGGGGAAGAAAAAAAAAAGAGTAAAAGTGAAACCTCAAAGTTCTGTAGTTAGTTTCTAGGATTAATAATAAGGCTTGATTTGCTCTAGTTGACTTTTATTCACCTAATGTTAGCGTTTGCCTTAATAGAAAAGTATTATTATTTCAGTTATCACATATAGAGAATTTAAAACCTAATTTAACAACATAAACTTTCAAAATAGTATACTTTTATTTTCATAATATTATACCTCTAGCGTAGTGGTTACGAATCGGGCTGCGAACCTTAAGGTCAGCGGTTCAAAACTACCAGCCGCTCCGCGGGAGAAAGATGAGGCTTTCTACTCCCGTAAAGATTTACACCCTCGGAAACCCTATACAGGGTCGCTATGGGTCGGAACCGACTCGACGGCACTTAACAACAACAACAACAACAAACATACCTTTATCTTCTTTCTTTTTTCTTTACTGTTTATAAATTTTGTAAATATATACTTTACAATGTGATTCATTTAGAGATTTTTGAACAAAGTAATAGTAAAATTTGTTCTATTTATATATGTCTATGAGATTTTGTGGTGCTGTGGGCTAATACGTCAGACTGCAAAGTCATTTGAACTGCAAGGCCGGTGGTTCAAGCTCATCAGCTTCTCCTCAGAAACCCTGTGTGGGTCACTATGGGTCAGAATCAACTCGATGGCACTTAATAACAACAAATGAGATTTAGGAAGCAAAGTTTTTTTTTTTTTAAATACAGTATCTCAAGATATGTATTATACAGACACATTCGATGGAAGATTTTAAGCATTGTTGTACATGTCTCAAAACATATAAACATGTCTGACTCCTGTTTTTTGTATGAGGTGTGAAAATTTAACATACCCTCAAAAGGTTCCTAAATAAATTAAGCAAAAAATGCTCCAGTGATCTGGGGCAAGCGATGACTTTTATGGATTTACCAAAGGAAATAGCTTTCCATTATCTCTACTAAGAAATATTCTTAAAGTTTCTGGTGTATAGTTTTCATTTGTTTATATTAAATGAAATAAGTGTCTAAATCCTAACAAAGAGTAACTCATACTTGTATTAAATCCTGAAGAAATAAATTATTTTGTCATAACATATTTTTAGGATTTATAAAAGAAATCTTTTTCTGTTAACATATAACATGTCAACACATACTTATTCAATCTGTATGCTGAGCAAATTATCTGAGAAGCTGGGTTATATGAAGAAGAACATGGCATCAGGATCAGAGGATGATTCATTAGCAACCTGTAATATGCAGATGATACAACCTTGCTTGCTGAAAGTGAAGAGGCCTTAAAATACTTACTGATAAAAAACAAAGAGATGAAGTCCAGCCATGATGACTTCTAAGGAGCATTCTAGTTGTACTTCTTCCAACACAGATTTGTTTCTTCTTCTGACAGTCTATGGTATCTTTAATATTCTTTTCCAACATCATAACTCAAACACATCAATTCTACAGTCTTCCTTATTCATTTTAAAGATACATTCATTTATTCACAATGACTTACTAGGTATAATAGTTAATTTGGGGACAGTTGGAAATACAAAATTTTAGTTTTACCTTCTTTTCTTGAGTTAACAAGTTAATTCAAGTGAAAAGCCATCATCAAACGAAATAATGACTTATTGTTTTGCAGTGCTATAGAACCAAGTGTCAAAATGAACTAAAACCTTAAAAAATGCCTTTCCAAATGATATTATACCTAATATTTTACCAATAACTTCTCTAGTTCAACTCTACAAGAACATTGCTTTAAAATAAACATATATAAGGTTAACGACTCAAAATTTCAAACATATGATTAATTGTGTTGACAAGTTGTTGCTGTTGTTAAGTGCCATGAAGATGGCTCTGACTTGTATTGACCCCATGCATAACAGAATGAAACACTGGTCCTGCACCAGCCTCCCAATCATTGTTACGTTTGAGCCCGTTGCTGTTGCCACTGTGCCAATCCATCTCGTTGGAGGTCTTCCTCTTTTACACTGACCCTCCACTTTACCAGGATGATAACCTTCTCCAGGTATTGGTCCTTCCTGCTAATATGTCCAAAGTGTGAAAGACAAATTCTAGCCATCCTGACTTCTAAGGAGCATTCTGGCTGTACTTCTTCCACCACAGATTTGTTTGTTCTTCTGGCAGTCCATGGTATTCTTGTTCAACATGATAACTCAAATGCATCAATTCTTTTATGGTCTTCCTTATTCATTGTTCAACTTTCACATGCATATGAGGCAACTGAAAATACCATGGCTTAGGTCAGATGCACCTCCCTCCTCTAACTGACATCTTTGATCTTCAGCACTTAAAGAGTTCTTGTACGGCAGATTTGCCAAATGTAATACGTCGTTTGATTCTTTGACTGCTGCTGTCATGAGTGGTTATAGTGGGTCCAAGACAACTTCAATCTTTTCTCCATTTAGCATGATGTTATTTAACTGTGATCTTTAGTAAAGTATCCGTGACTGTTCACCATCTCTTGCAACTCATATTTCCAACATCATTTCTTTGCTTCCTTTTTCCCCTCTCTCCCTTCCTTCCACAGGCAGTAGTGCCTGTTACTCTAGACTGCTTGTGACAGCCCCCAGCATGTCTGCTTCTGCTGTAATTTCCTGAGAATTCTCTTCTACCCCTCCCCCACCCCACTGTTCTCTATACCTGTAGAAACTCACCCAAATACCACCCTCCAATCTGTCTTCCAACAATAAGCATTTCATCCATTTGATTAATACAGCATATCATGTCTTCTATCACACAGGTTTGAGTACACATGATCTCACCAGATTGTATGCTCCCTTAGGACAGGAATTTCCTGGTTTGGGGGCCAGTCAATGCCTAGCACTTTTCACATCATAAATAGATGCAGATTGTGTTCTAAAAATATTTCACCATAATAGATGAGAATTGTTTTAGTCTTAGTTGATTCATCTATTTTTAGATTAAGTTCTTGCATGTAGACAGTTGAAATGCCAATATCTAGACTTAATGGGTGTGGTACTGTAGAATAAGCACTGGACTGCTAACTGCAGGGATTGCGGTTCAAACCCATCAACTTCTCCTTGGAAACCCTCTGCAGGATTGTTATGAACCAGAACTGACTCGATGGCACTTACCAACAGTAGACTTAATGCCACACAAAAATCCCATAAATGAGACGTATTCATCAAGTCAATTAAACCCATGTTTGTCTTCCCCTAAAATATACCTTTCCCTCCCTGCCTCATTCTCTATGAATGCAGACTAGAGTCATGTCTGTGGCCTTCTGTTCCATCCAGAGCTATTGAAATTACAATTCATAAAATCAGCAGCAGCCCATGGAAGTGTTTGCAATCTATTTAATTGTCTTTGTGAATCTTTGTATCATTAAAAAAAAAAGTCAGAGTAAAGTAAAATAAATTAAATACCAGACATTCTAAAGGCAAATCTACCCATTGGATGTGATACGCACATTTGTAGGAAAGCAGTGTCTAGGCAATAGCTGTGATTTTCTTTATGCAATAAAAACTGAAGTTTGGGATGCTCAACAGGAGCTAGGGGTAATGGTGGGCAAGGCTGTTGTTTCAAACATGTTTGTCATATAAGTTTTGAGGTTCACATCTCTAAGTGAACTCTTCTCCTTCTTCTTGCAAGTTGATGATGTGGAGTCTTTTAAGATCTTGGACCACCCAGAAAGTGAATCTACTCTTACATCTAAGTTACAGATTCTTTTTGCAAATGGACTAACTTGGAGTACAGTTGAGCTCCGCTAGTCTACATGATATAAACATCTGATGCCAGTATGTTCTTTTTGACTTGATCACTCTTCACCCTCTTCATCCCTCCCTCCTTCCTACCCAGAACCCACTCTTCTTTTCATAACACTCAGGATTAAGAGCATTGTGAGAATGCTAATTGAACTTGGTTACCAACATGGAAATGGTTAGTGTATTCTTGGGGGTTCATGGTGTCCCCAAGCATGCAGGGTAAAACTCCATAGGGTTTTCAAGGCAAATAACCTTTTAGAGACAAATCAGCAGGTCTTACCTTCAAGGCACCCCTGAATGAGTTTGAGCCACCAACTTTTCTAGTGGTGCAGTGGTTAAGGACTGGGATGCAGTTTTAAAGCACCAGCAGCCCCAAGGGAGAAAGATGTGTCAGTCTGCTTCCATAAGGATTACAGCCTTGAAAGCCCTATGGGAAAGTTCTATTTTGTCCTATAGAATCACTATGATTCAGAATTAACTCC